GGTCTGTGTCTCTATCACTTGCTGTGGTCAGCCGCCACACAATTCTTTGGTGTGGCTAGGCAAGAACCTTAGACATTACAGTATGGATGGTAAGACTCCAGCAGAAAGACATTGGCAAGTGTTACAGGAAAAGAGGAAATTTTATCCGAAAGTGTTATGGAAATCCTCAAAAGAAGGACAGTGAAATGTCCAGTGGATTTACTGACAGGGGAAGAGGGTGTGCTTGTGTGTTTACAGGAGATGGACAAACTGCGTGGGTGCCCTCAAGATGCATGCGAACATGGAACAGGAACAGGAGATTGCAAGAACCCAGAGTGGCCAACCATGGGCACAGTCCCTCCGGTACGACCTATGAACCAGCTGAGACTGAGTGCAAAGACAGAGAGAAGGCTGACCAGAGTCATGACACGGTTCTAATGCTATGTTTTCTGTAAAATCGGATTAACTGCCATTTGGAGAATGAGAGCTGCCCAGCCAGGCCTTACATTCTTTCAATTAATACATAAACAAAAAGGGGGATATGCAGGGAGCAGAAGGCCCATGGGAAGTGACCAACTCAGTATTCTGCTGGAGGCTATATGAGCAAACAGCAAACTGTTTATCATGAATGCAGGCTGCGGGCAAACTCACACTCCCCTGACGCCAAAATGTTTGCTGAGGGCCATCACTCCCTGGTGCCAGGCTCCTTGAAGTTATCTACTGAGAAAATTAACGCCTATGGTTCAAAGGATGCAGTCTTGCAAGCCTGCTGTGAACCAAACGGCCGACTGACAATTATCTGACAATCACATCCATTTCTCGCTATCTCTTTTGTCTAATAAATAGGGAAGGCTGTGTAAAGCTCAGGGCCCTTGTCCAGTAGAGGCAAGGTGCCCCCTGACCCCTTCTTCCAAATATACTCTTTTGTCTCTTGTATTTTATTACCACTTTTGCCCCCTTTGTTCAGTCCAATAGGTCTGCGGCATAGTGGCACCCCCAAGAGCGACAGAATTGGGCAATTGACATGAATGGAACAGAGAAAAGTGTAGGACTTTGACATGGAATAAGATTCAAATCTCAACCCTGCTACTGACTACCTATGCAATCTTGTCTATGTTGTTTTACTTCTCAGAATTTCAGTTTCCTGAGGCTCCAAGGAAGATGATGGTAATATGTGCTTCTGAAACTGCCCCTATAAACTTTATAAATGTAGGCCAGGCACAGTGGCTCATTCCTATAATCCCAGCACTTTCGGAGGCTGAGGCTGATAGATCACGTAAGGTCAGGAGTTCACAACCAGCCGGACCAATTGGTGAAACTTTCTCTCTACTAAAAATACAAAAATTAGCCAGGCGTGGTGGCATGTGCCAGTAGTTCCAGCTACTCGGGAGGCTGAGACAGGAGAATTGCTTGAACCAGGAAGGTGGAGGTTGCAGTGAGCTGAGATCATGACACTGCATCCCAGCCTGGGAGACAGAGCGAGACTCCATCTCGAAAAATACATAAAATTAATCAGGGAAGGAGGGAAGGAGAAACAAAAAGAAACCAAGCTGGCAGCATGTCCAGCATTCATCATTAAGTCGGCACACTCTCCAATCTGCTTCCTCACAGTTTGGTGCCTATTTTCCTAGAATCACTAGACCCGGATACAAGATTATAGTTTCCCTTAACTGCTCTTTAAATAACAACTCGAACATTATGAAATGTTGTTTTCACTTTGAGATATTCCTTCAGGTCCTGCATACAGATGAAACCACTGATGCAGCTGACCTGAAGGACTCCCCGAGGGGCTACCTCACCAACGTATAGTTTCCAATTTATGATGATTTTATCCTCCTTGACCCAACCCACCAGCAACCCCGGTTTTCCAACCCCTCACTCTCCACAATCCTCTTAAAGCCCCAGGCCAGAACTTCTTGGGAGATGAATTTGAGGGTTTCCTTCCACTTCCTTGCTGGGTGCCCTGTGATCATTAAACTCTTTCTTTGCTGCATCCCGCCTGTCTTAGTGTAATTGGTCTATTACTATGCAGTGGGCATACGAACCTGTTGGTCCCATAACATAACCCTTCCTTGGGTGGTCATAAGGACTACAAATACGGGATACCAAGGGCTACTCTAGTGCAAGGTTGCATCTCCTCTGTGCTGTGCAGAGAGGATAATCAATCTCTCTCCAAATGCAGTGTCCCATCTGTATTCAGGAATTCCTACAATTATGAGAAAAATATTACTCTTTGTTGTTATCATTATTTCTCAAGCATTATCCCACCTGACCAATGAAATGGAAGTTGTAGAGAAGAAAGTGGGCGACAAGTCTGTCTGTTTTTGTTTGTTTGTTTGTTCCTTTTTGAGAGAGTGTTGCTCTGTCACCCAAGTTGGAGTGCAGTGACATGATCTTGCCTCACTGCAACCTCCACCTCCTGTGTTCAAGTGATTCTTCAGCCTCAGCCTCCTGAGGAGCTGGGATTACAGGTGCGTACCACCATGCCCAGCTAATTTTTGTATTTTTGTCAAGATGGGGTTTCATCATGTTGGCCAGGTTGGTCTCGAACTCCTGACATCAAGTGATCCGCCTGCCTCGGCCTCCCAAAGTGCTGGGGTTATAGGCGTGAGCAACCACCCCCAACTAAGTCTGTCTGTTTTTAAAGTACAAGAAAGATCCAGAAGAAATTTCCACCAAACGGATAACAATGACTTTTGTTTTTTATATTATACACATCTGTATTGTCTGAATTATTTGATAAAAAGCATTTTTAAATTACTTGTTTGTGATTACTTTATTGTTTTAAGTGAACTGTTCCCTCCACAGTTAGATCAGAACTCATTAAAACCTAAGATCAGAGAACTGAATTGAATAGAGTTTTGCCTCAGGGAAAAGTAAAGAAAAATCTTTTTCCTTGATCCTTTATTCCATATTCTGACTCTGTGTGTGATTATGTAACAGTCATGATTAACTTGATCACCATGACTTGACAAACTGCAGCCTTTAAGACTGACTGAGTCAACAATTGGGAAAGAGATTTTATTTGTTCTGGTGCTGCCAAGTATTATCGACATCTTCTATTTAATGACAAGTGAGTAAATATGTGAGCCACTCTGTGTTTCTGGCACTTTTTTTCTGTTATTCTTACTTTATAAAGACTTTTTATGCCTGCAATTTTATTAACACCTCTAATATCCAAAAGAAACAGAGTGATTCTATAACAAGATATTTTAAAAGAAAAAACAAAAAAAGACAAGCAGAATGAGATATGTAACTCAATACTGTTTCTATACATTAAAAGTATATGCCCACAGTGCACATTATGTAAGAACATGGGAAAAAAAAACACAAAACTCTATGCACATCAAACAAATCACAGTAGTTACCTACAGTAGGAGAAGAAAAGCAGGGAATAGAGTTATTTTTTTGTTGTTGTGGTTCTTTGTTTTTGGAGACTGGATCTCACTTAGACACCTAGGCTAGAGTGCAGTGCCACAATCGCAGCTCGCTGCAGCCTCCACCTCCCAGGTTCAAGCTATGCTGCCCAGGCAAGTCTTGAATGCTTGGCCTCAAGTGGTCCTTTTGTTTTGGATTCCCAAAGTGCTAGGATTACAGTCGGGAGCCAAAGAACCCAGCCTGGGAATGGAATTTTGTTTTGTTTTATTTTAAGTTACATAAATTAATAAGGGAGAGAGAGTGAGTGAGAAAGAAAGAATTTGGCAGCCCAGTGGGGATAAAGTGCAACAAACTCTGATGAGTATGAAGAATTCAACTCTCAGCATTTTGTTTTTAGGGTCCATCCAAGTCGCTTTATGTACATCGATCCCAGTGCTTCTGATGCTGCATATATCCCATGGTATGCATCCACCACACTTGGTCCACACACTGTTATGGGTTGGACTGTGTCTTCCCCAATTTCATGTGTTGAAGTCTCCAAGTACCAGTACTCACAATGTAACTGTATTTGGAGATAGGGCCTCTCAAGAGGTAATTACGGTTAAATGAGGCCATATTAGTGAGCTCTAATCCATTTGACAGTATTTGAAGACAAGGCCTTGGAAGACGTGATTAAGCTAAACTGAGGCTGACAAGTGGGGCTCTAATCCAATATGACAGGTACCCTCACAAGGAGAGACATTGAGCCCGGTGTGGTGGTGGGCCTGTAATCCCAGCTTCTAGGGAGGCTGAAGGAGGATCACTTGAGCCCAGGAGTTCAAGGCTGCAATGAGCTGTGATACCCACCACTGCACTCCAGCCTGGGTGACAGAGCCAGACCTCAAAATAATTAAAATTAAGTAAATAAATTAAAGACATTGAATCTTCATAATGACTGGGAGTTAGGCATTGTTCTTATCCCCATCTTGCTGATGGCTGAACTGAGTGAGGCAAAGAGAATGTAAGTAAGTCTTTGAAAGCTACACAACTAGTAAGTGGCAGGCGCAGGCTTCGAACCTGCAGCCCTCTAATACCAACCACCTAACTTCACGTTCAACCCCTGCCTGATACCGCCACTCCTTGCAGAGGCCGGGTCAAGGCCTGATGTTTGCTAGGATGTGATGTGTGGGGTGCCTCAGTGGCAAGAACGCTCACTCCTGCCTGGGGGCGTCTGGCAAGGGTTCCTAGAGGTGACCTTGAATTGGCTCCTGGAAGGCGAGTAGGTGTTCAGCCGGTGTACTGGGGACGGACAGGCAGAGTGTCTGCACCCCAGCCCTGGGCGAAAGCTTGCACTCCTTGCAGGAGCCCAGGAATCGGAACCAGCACCGGGGGCTGATTAGGGCTGCGGCCGCCCCAGGCCCTGCCTTTGGCCCCTTCTGGCCTGCCGGGCACCCTTCGGCTCGTTCCCCCACGATGCATATTTCCGCAGGGCTCCAAATTAGGACCCCAGGCGCAGGTCCAGTGTCACCTGGACAAAGCTCTGTTAGGGGTTTTACTATCAGAAGTCCCCAACGCCCCTACACACACAAACACATACACACATGCACACGCACGCGCGCATATGCACACACACACACACATATGCGCGCACACACACACGCACGACACACGCGCGCGCACATGCACATAGGCACACACAGATAAGCACACACACACACACAAACGCACTCAGATTCCCGGGACCCTGGTTTTCCTCCTGAGACCTTTTCGGGGCGGGGCTCTCACCCTCCAGAAGCAGCCCCGCCTTGGAGTGGCCCCACCCTCTCCTGGGACCTGTCATAAAGCGGTCCTCGGGCGCCCGGCCGCGCAGTCCCAGCCGCCTTCCCCAGGCAGTGGAACCCTCAGGCTCTTGTAAGTAGACCTCCTGTTTTCTTTCCTTCGCTTTTCTCCCTCCCTTAACCCCCTTGCTTTCTTCCTGCCAAGTTTCTAGACGCACCAGTGGAGGAGGTTTGGGCTTAGCCCTCCTCCCCTTACGCCGAAATGACCGCTGGGTCCTGCACTCCGAGGATCTTGGGAGCCGATGTCCGGACGCCTCCCGGCCCTGCAGTTCCTTGGAGAGTTTGGAGACGCGCGCAGGAGGGAAGCTTGGTTACAATCCCGGACACCCGGCAGCTGCCTGCACCCGGCAAGGGCCTGGCCAGGGAACTTGTGGGACCGCACAACTCGGGGAGGGTAGAAGAAGATCGGGGTGGGGATTTGGGAATGGGCACGCAGGCAGTGGGTGACGAGTGGCGGGCGGCGGGGGTGGGAGCAAAGGGCGAGCGGGCAAAGGCCGGTCGCCGCGCCAGGCCCCCCTCCTCGGGCGGACGAGACCTTCCCGGGACCTCGCCCCTCTGGGGCCAGACCCTTTCCAGAAGGGCTTCTGGACTTGTAGCGAGTTTGGAATGTCCAGCGGTTGCTTTCTAGGAAAAACGGACAAAGATGTGTGGACACTTAAAAAGTTCAACTCGTAGAAGTAACGACTAGAATGATGGTTGCCAGAGGCTGGGAGCGGGTTCGCGGGTGAATGGGAGCTTGTTGGTCAAAGGGTACAAAGTTCAGAGACGAGAGGAGTAGGTTCTGAGATCTGTTGCACTGCAGGGTGACTAGAGCCAATAATGTGTATTTCAAAATAACTAAGAGCAAACTTCAAATGTCTCATCATAAAAGTCATACTTAGGATCGGGCGCGGTGGCTCACGCCTGTAATCCCAGCACTTTAGGAGGTCGAGGCGGATCATTAGAGCTCAGGGGTTCTAGACCAGACTGGCCAACATGGGGAAACCCCGTCTCTACTAAAAATACAAAAATTAACCGGGCGTGGTGGCGGGCGCCTGTAATCCCAGCCACTCAGGAGGCTGAGGCAGGAGAATCCCTTGAACCCGGGAGGCGGAGGTTGCAATGAGCTGAGATGGCGCCATTGCACTCCAGCCTGGGCGACAGAGCGAGACTCCGTCACCAACAAAAAAAAAAAAAAAAGAAAAAAGAAAGAAAGAAAAAAAAAGTCTTTATTAAAAAAGAAAAAACAAGAAGGAACAACCCCGGGCTGCAGATCGGACGGCCACCCTGGCTCCCGGCCACCCGTGTCCCCTCCCCGCGGCACCGGTGGGGAGCTGGGGAGGTCAGCGCCAGCTCCAGAATGTTTTGATACTGGATTGTTTGTAGCGGATGCACACGCGGGAAGGCGCGGGTCCCAAGTGATTCGGCCGAGTTCAGTCCAAGCAGAACGTCCTGAACCCCCAGCTCGGGGCAGCTTTCATCATCTTCCCTTGCTTTGGTGTAGAGTTTAAGCTCAAAATCGGTTTGGTGTGGAGTTTAAACTGAAATCCCTCCTGGGCCCAAGAAAATTCTCATCCAGTGGCTGAGTTCAAGTGGCTCACGCCTGGAATCCCAGCACTTTGGGAGGTGGAGGCGGGCGGATCGCCTAGGCAACACAGTGTGGCTCCTCTCTACAAGAAAGAGAGAGAAAAGTATTAAAAATAATAATAATAAATGAAAACAAACAAACAAAAAAACCGCACCTGAAAATGGAGCGGAGCAGCGGCGCCCCCCGGTGGTTTTCGGGAGCTCTGAGACTGCTTTGAAATGCCTGGCTCTTTCTTTCTGAAAGAGGTGCATGGACTTCTTTCTATTGGGTTCTTTGTGTTTGATGCTTTTTCTTAGAATTTACTCCATGTGAAATGAGAAACGGAATGGAATATTCGCACTCCCCGTAACTGTTCAGTGCCATAAAGAAACTCCAGCCTAGCAGTGGCTGGGAAGAATTTCTTTGCGGATTTATATTTTTTCCTTGTCTTGAAGATTTCTTTAAACCTCAGTTTCCTCATCCGTACACTGGCAATGATACTAATGTCTTTCTTACAGTGAAGTTATAAGGATAAAATGAGGTAATCTGTATGAAGTGCTTAGCACAGCACCAGAAACATAGTAAATATTAAATGAATGTGGATGACGTTATCTGATAATGATGGGATTTGAGGATATTGTAGTTGTGCTATCTGGGCTCAGTTTGATGGCGAGGGAACTGTTAGAATGCATGGCAGTTGACTGCATATTTACTGTGTTCTAGGAGCTTCAGGATGGTTCGTACTAAGATATGGACCCTGAAGAAGCACTTTGTTGGCCATCCTACTAATAGTGACTTTGAGTTGAAGACAGCTGAGCTACCACCCTTAAAAAATGGAGGTAAGCCATACTAAAAATATTTCAGAGTTG